AAAGAGAGAGATCCTTGCTTTCTGAATGTATGTTGTGAGCCGCTGAGTTGGTCCATTGAACGGTTCATCCTCCTCTGCATCGTACCTCGGCCACAGTGTAATTGGAAGCGTCGTGGATTCCTCCAGTGTGATGGAGTAACTTTCAGTAGCGTTCGGCTTAGTAGCTTTTTTTGCGTGCTCTCGAGAACCATCTCTTGCCTCAGACACGTTTTGGTAACCCAGAAACTGCGGAAAAACGCCAGCACTTCCCGATACTTTGGTAGGCTCATCTTTACTTCTGTTTTGAATCTGGCCAGGAAGTCCCTGAGTCCCTCACCTGCAGTTTGTCGGACGGCGAAGATATCGTTGACCCTGGCCTCTGCTTTCTTAGCTCCTGCATGGGCGGTGGCGAACTTATCCGCCATTTCTTCGAATGTTGATATCGTTCTGGCTGGCAGCTGTGAGTACCATTTTAGCGCCTCCCCTGTCAACGTTTCTCCGAACTTTTTCAGTAGTACAGATGGTACTTGTTCCTTTGACAGATCGTTACCCTTCACAGCGGTCACATAGTGGATCAGGTGGTTTTCGGGGTTCGTCGTCCCGTCATATATCCTTAAGTAGGGTGGCATCTTGAAGGTTTTTGGGATCGGGTGAGGTGCAGCTTCTTCGCTGTATGGTTGTTCGACGAATCTTCCCACGTCGCGCTTTGGTAGTAACTTAGGAGCGCCGGGAATTTTGTCTACTCTTTCCTGATGCTCTTTAATCTGATCCCGAAGTGCCTTGTTTTCATTCTCCATTTCCTTGTTTTTTTAAGGATGGCTGCAAGTGTGCCATCGCTGGTCTGGCCATTGGTGTGGTTGTTGTTTGTACGTACAGTATCGTGTTCACTGGTGGTAGCGATGTCTGTCGTCAACGGGTTCTTAATGTTGATTTGGGGCGATTTTTCGAGCAAGCTGCCTAGGGTGTTCGTCAGCCATTCTTCCAGTAGCTTCTTGACCACCGGGGTGGTGTTTCTTTGACTACAGACGTGGAAGCCCCCTTTTCTTGCATGATCGTCAGATCTTCAGATGGGAAGGGTGAGATTTCTCCCTCTTGAGTGCTACCAGGTGTTGTGCTCAAGATGTTTTCTCTGCCGGCCTCGTTGAGGGGGCCTATGAGGTTGGTTGTGACGCCTGCTATTGCTTTCAATCTTGCGTCATTTTCCGCCATTTTTCGATTTCAGTAGGGTGTGAAGGAAGGTGGTTTATTTTTGATGTTCTAGGTGCAAACTATGATTTCGATTGCCGAAATCCCCATAGACGGCGCCAAATTGTTTGGCTCAAAAGATACTAATTATTTTGTAAGCGAAAACAATCAAAATGAATCAAAGGTAAATCGTAATCGAATATAATTAGACCTAGAAATATGTATTATGCTTGTGATTGTTTCAACAACTTGGATATTCGAGAGAGTAAGAGAAAGCTTGTTTAGAGAGAGAGAGAAATAGAAAGAAAGATAGCTTATTACTGAAAGATCTCCCTTTTTTTTACAACATTGGGATTCTCCTTTATATAACAAGAGAACCCCCTCAAAAATAATAAAATAATATAGGGATAGGTCACGTGCTTTCGAGGAGATGACGAGACCTAAGGGCACGCTTTCGCTCTGATATTCTTAGGTCGTCCCCTCTACTTCGGCTATTGCTTAGTCGTGGGTCGTTGCTACCATAGTGGGCAGAATTCGACCCCATACAACAATCATCTTCCAAGGAATGCTTTTCAAGATTTTAGTAGTTGGTAAGAAATGGACGCTTAGGATAATTCATATGTAGCTTGAAAGTTTCTTTACATGCTCAACTAAAAAGCAATCGCACTCTGCACAGAAATCGAAGTTATTAAATAGTATATTTTTTCATACGTGATTTGAATATTTCGATGCAACAAAAAGGTAAAATGTGGTATCTCAGCATTACAACAGCTTGTATCACCCTTTGGTTGCGACGATTCCTCTTTAATTTAGTGCTTTGTTGGTTACTTTGTTTGGGTACGTTAATTAAATTCTCTTTCATAATTTCATCTTTTAGTTATACTCGGAAGACTAATTATTTAGCTACTTTAAAAGTCCTTTTGATCTTTATATTGGATTTTGAGAGGAGTACTTTTAGAAGCTTTGGCATTGTATTTGTCATCCTGATGCTCATGTTGTGCTCCATTTATTTGAAGCAAGACTGATGCGGTTATAATTCATCCTTTTGATTACCTAACTGTAAGTAAATTTGATAATGATCCACTTATGTTTGACCAAAGATATGTAGAAAACTGTAATATAGAGTAGAGACAAATCAAATTGAACAAACGAAGGATGTGTATCACTTCTAACTCACTTACAGCTATGGTACCGACACAAATGTTATACCTAAGTGGGTTTGTTGCTTCAATAACTTAAAATTTGTTTGTTGTTTCTTTCGTTAGTGGCTTATCATTTTCACGTGTCAAGATTATTGTTTTTTAAAGGAAATGGGCAACATAAAAGGAGATACACTAGTTGAGTAATAATAGAACTTTGACCCCAGTATAGAGAGACTTTTCCGTAACAAAGTTGCTATGAGCTTTAAGGGGAGATCATAAACGATACAAAAGAATGAGCTTCAGGTAGTTGTTTCAGCTTATCTAAATTACTTAAAATTAAGGGGGAATGAGGCTTGCCATTTTCTCCCCCACATGTATGAGTATGACATACCTCCATTATCTTTTATTCACTAATGGTTAGTTATAGTGTGCGTCGTTATCGCTTAATTTTTTATCCTAATAACAACTTCTCTTCCGTTAGTGGAGTTCCAAATTGCATTTTATGATGGCTAGCTTTTCAAAAGCATTATGAGAAGTCCACAAACAAACACGAATAATACATGTAACTTTGCAATTTAAGTGTCTTGGCTGCCATGAAACTGATACAAAATAGCTAAAAAGAGCACAGAAAAGATATAAATATAGAAAAGAAGAACATTACCTGGCCCCCTCCTTGATATTACACATTGACAATCACTAGGATTCGCAACATCAGAATTTTGCAATTTAATTGTCTTAGCTGCCATGAAACTGATGCAAAATAGTTAAAGAGTGCGTGCATGAGCAAAAGGGGTTAACAAAAGAGGGAAAGGCTCCGGAAATTCTACAACAGCCTTCAGTAATTTCACTTTTTCTCAATGTATATGAAATTAACTTGAAATAAGGGGTTTTGGGTAGAAATATTTATTTTTGGATAGACTGGAAAGCAAAACACATGCTGAAATTTGAAGGGTCAATCTTGCCATGAAATCCCAGAATAAGGAATCAAAGTTCCCTCACAGGGCACATTATCACTAAAGACGCAGGAATCGTAAATAAGGAAATAACTATTAGCTGAAGGAACCGGACATGGGATTCATATTTTGGGTTACTTATGGAGTATTAGATTAGGATTGCCATCAACAATACAAAGTTGTGCATTCCTTTGAGTTTGAATTGGGGAAAAATACTACAAAAAAAATGGTCTTCAACGAAGGGACCAGTCGTTAAAGGTCCAAATCCCGTCGTTATAAGTCAATAACGACCAAAAAATATTCGGTCGTCATCGGTCGTTAAAAGCTCCGACATTAAAAGTTAGCGACCGGATCTCAATCCTGTCATTAAATATCCTTTAACGACAACAAATCTTCCAGTCGTTATTTTCTTTAGCGACCGGTTATCCCTTCGTGCATTGCCAAAGTTCCCTTCGTTAATGCCCATTTAACCATTAGAAAATCTTGTCGTTATTATAAAGACCAGAATTCCCTTCGCTAATATGAAATTTAATAAAAATCAATGCATATAGTTATATTTTTCCCTGTAGTTTTATCAGTAGTAATCATTATTTGATATACATTCTCACACATACATACAATACACCTACATCTCAAAGTATACAAAATAATTAGAACTCATTAATGTTTCATTGTTAATTACAAAGGAACACGCTGTCGGAAAATATACCTATCCAAGCAGCATGACACTACTTTTATCAACTCTACAAACAGAGAGAGACAGTAGAACTATAGTAGAATGTACAAATGCCAACATCTTTAAACCACCACTAACAAAACAAAAATACTGTTGTGTTTCAATTTGCTCCGCACTTTCTTCAAGAACAGATTCGTCGGACTTCAAATTCTTGATCTGTTAAAAGAATAAATTCATGTAAGTTAGTGAAAAACTCCTACTAGCTACTTTATTTAGAAGATAAATGCAAAATTTAATCACTAAATTAACTAAAGAATAGGAGTAAATATTGTTTGATTGATTGATGCAGCTAATGAATAATTTCAGAAGGTTATCTTTTATGTTTAAGTAGGATGAAATTTAGACCTCAAGCTAGCGAAGTCCTAAGATTTCAAGGCAGAGAAGGGTTGGTAACATGGCTATTGTTTAAATTAACAAAAAAGTGTAAAGAATGGAAGTATAAAAGCCCCTAATAAATATAATGAATCACAAAATAAACAGAACATTGAACTTAACCTAAAATGCAATTAACAAGGAATCACAAGTGATAAAAGAGTAGGAAAAATCCAGACCTGTCAACTTGTCAATATTCCAAGTCCAAATCAAGTCTTTCTCCAATCAAAACCGTTCTCCTTAAGTAAAACTTCCCAAGGCCTCGAATCAAAAAGGGATTAACTCCTCTGAGCTCCAGGTGTGAGATACTCATATTTAAATATTGAATATTAAAGATTGAATTTAGGTTAGAAGTATTACCTGATTCACCTTGTATTTGGTTTTTGAAGAAATACCTTTCCATGGGTTCATCTCATTGAGATATGCTTGTTTTAATAATAATATTGTGCCATAGTGCTTGAGTTGATCTAATGAGCTGGCTCTCAAAACTTGTGATACTATGCTCTTTTATCACAGCAAAAGTCAATGGAAGAAACAATTAACCGCACAACTTAAACCCAAAAGATAAGTAAGAAACAATCGTCTTTCTACTTAAAAGAAATTTAAGTCTGAAGCATTTCTTTCTACTTTCATCCCTTGTTGTATGACTTCGTTGAATTCTCTATATTAAAGTACTAACATAAACAACGTGTCACGACCCAAAATCCACTATGGGTCGTAATGGCGCCGGACACCGTTATCAGGCAAGCCAACCATAAATACTTAATTAAATTCTCAGTTAAATAATTGTGAAAACTCTGATTTTCCTTCAATTTTACTAGTAAAAGATACTCATTTCAAATTAACTATGAAAGTCAAGAGATCAATACAAAATACCCCATAATCATCCCAGAACCCGGTGTCACAAGTGCATGAGCAGTTACTAGGGAATAAAATAAAATACAGTAAACCGGAATACAAGGTGGACAGAAATGAAAATACAGCACAATACTCTGAAGGAGACTCTGCGGGCTGCGGGCCGTCTCGATAAATGCAGCTCACCTAAGTCTCTGTACCAACCATGCCGCTATGCCACTAAGCCGCTAGCCACACCTGAACCTGTGCAACAAAATGCACAACAAGTGTAGTATGAGTACGAAAATAACGTGTACTCAGTAAGTATCCCGCCTAATCTCGAAGAAGTAGAGACGAGAGGTCGACTTCGACACTTACTAGTGGTCTAATGATGATACATCAGTAATATAACAAGTCGAGGGTTTACATGAACATGAATGTAATTCAATAGAGTGAAGCAAGTGAACAATTCCTTCTTTATTATGAAAATTTCCAATTTCCTTTTTCATCAATTATACATATATTCTCAAGCCAGGAAGAAGCAATATCAACTTCAATAAAGTTCAAGGCAAGCAATACAAGCATGCGCAATTCATGTCGAGGACGTACGGCCCGATCAAATAATATTTAAACTGTGCACTGCCAGAGGGTCGAATGGCGCGAACTATAGATGCATCTATTACCCCGCTCGCGAATCATACATGCGATGCTGTCAAATAACAAAAAACAATCTCCCTGCTCGCGAATCATACATGCGACGCAGGTACACACAGAAACAAACATTTTTAACAGTTAATCAAGACTATTATTCAAGGAGGTGTAAATTTCTCTTTTACAAGTCAAGAAAATGAAGTTTAACTCTTTTAGAAAGTCATTTGCCACTTCGATATGATTTAAGCAATTTAAACTAATAATAAGGTTACAAGTATTACAAGCAAAGCATGCTTTTGGGCCCTAGACTACCCGGACATAAACATAATAGTAGCTACGCACGGACTCTCGTCACCTCGTGCGTACGTAGCCCCCGCAAATAGCAGCACATATCCAATTAATTCAACTATGGGGACAATTCTCTTACAAGGTTAGAAAGGAGACTCACATCGCTCCGAAGTTCCAAAACCGGCTTCCAAGCCCTTCTGACGACTCAAATCGATGCACAACGCTCCAAAACTAGCCAATAAATAAGAAGATCCATAATATATACTCTAATACTCACAAAATTTTAATTTAGATAAATTCTTAACTCCGTTCGAAAAGTTGACAAAATCGCCCTCGGGCCCACGTGCTCGGATTCCAAAAAACTCACAAAATCCGACAACCCATTCCGATACGAGTTCAACCATACCAATTTTGCCAAATTCCGATAACAACTTGACCTCCAAATCTTGAATTTTCGTTCTTGAAAAGTTCTGCAAAAATCTTGATTTCTTCCATTTAAATCAGAAATAAATGATGAATATAACCATAGAATCATGAAGTATAATTACTTTAGGATATAGAACACTTACCCCAATCCATATGGTGAAAAATCGCCTCAAAAATCGCTTAAATCCGAGCTCCATAGCTCCAAATATGTTAATAATGGCTGAAACCTCGAAATATAACTTCTACCCAGGTATTTACTCTTCGCGATCATGGAAAATGCTTCGCAATCGCGAAGCACAACACTTCTCAGCCCAAAATTTGCCCTTCGCGAGCGCGGGAAATGCTTTGCGATCGCGAAGAACAAATGCCCAGCTCTTCCAGACAGTCTCAGTATAATGGCCATAACTTTTTGTACAAAATTGCAAATGGTTTAACATTTTGAAAACTAGACTTCATGGAATACAACTTTCATGCATTGCTCATCTCCCAGTTCCTTATAGATTACAAGATATAAGCTCTCAAAGTCAGCCCTGTGCAACACAAATTTCTTCTTCGCAATTTCCAAACTCTTCCCAGATAGGCTGTAGTGTACCACTAATAACTTTTTGTAAACAGCTCCAAATACCAAATGGTTTACCTTTCTGAAAACAAGATACAAAGGGATACAACTTTCATTTTTGGATCATCTCCAAATTCCTTATAGATTGCGAGATACAAGCTTTCAAAGTCGGGTCAGTGCAGTAGAAACTTTCTTCTACGCGATCGCGAAAGGCCTTCCGCGATCGCGAATCACTAGACATTTTCTCCCATTTTACTCATCGCTATCGCGACCAATTCCCCACGATCGCGTAGCATACTGCTGTAGCCAAAAACCAGCAGCTAAAAATGGTCTAGAAATGGTCCGAAATCACCCTGAAACTCACCCGAGCCCCTCGGGACCCCGTCCGAACATACCGACAGGTCTCAAAACGTACCACGGACTTAGTCGAGGCCTCAAATCACATCAAACAAAGCTAAAAACACAAATCACACCCCAATTCGAGTCTAATGAAACTAAGAAATTCCAATTTCTACATTCGATGCCGAAACCTATCAAATCACGTCCGACTGACATCAAATTTCGCACACAAGTCACATTCGACATTACGGACCTACTCAAACTTCCAGAATTGGATTGCGACCCCGCGATATCAAAAAGTCCACTTCCGGTCAAACTCCTCAAAATCCTTCAAATTTCTATCTTTAGCCAAATGACTCCAAAATGACCCACGGACCTTCGAGTTCACTTCCGATTGCGCTCCCAACACCAGAATCACCATACGGAGCTATTCCCAGACTCGGAATCCCAAACGGACATTGATAACACTGAAATGCACTTCAACCCAAACTTATGAAGTTCCTCCAAAATCCTAACTTCCACATTAGGTGCCGAAACGTTCCCGGGTCTTCCAAAACCCGATCCGGACATACGCCTAAGTCCGAAATCATTATACGAACCTGCTGGAACCTTCGAATCCCGATTTCGAGGTTGTTTACTCAAAAATCCAATCTCAGTCGATTCTCTCAACTAAAAGCTTCCCAAATGAGAATTCTCTTTCCAAATCAACTCTGAACTTCCCAGAATTCAATTTCGACCATGCGTACAAGTCATAATACCTGAAATGAAGCTGCTCATAGCCTCAAACTACTGAACGATGCGCTAGAGCTCAAAACGACCGGTCTGGTCGTTACATTCTCTCCCACTTAAACATACGTTCGTCCTCGAACGTGCTAAGAACTGTGCTGGAGTTGTCTGAAATCACAGTTAAACACCTTGTGCACCTACCCGTGCTATCACAACTCAGTTGATCACATTAGCTCGAGCAAATCCAAAGATATTCTCTTTTATTCAAACAAATGAGCCTTAGAGCTCAGTTTCAACATTCGAAATTCTCAGCCAGGCCTGCTTTCAACATATGAACATCGTATCAATCACCACATGATGCACCGATACAAGATTACATACCTTTGTTGAATTCACACTATGCACCACGTCATTCACAGGACCATAATAACATTCCCTGACCATAATAGCCGACTTTCCCCCAATCTGATGCTCACAAGGCACCTCATGATACATTTAAGTCTTGTTCCAACTCTTTCAATACTGCCACGACGGAAGAGACTTGTAGAGATTCATAACCAACTGACGGGTCAACAAATCATTGAGGCTACACTCCTGACAAGGACATTACCTCATTCTGAACCAAATAATGATCTTTGCTCTTTAATTACTTCATACAATCCGATTGAACTGATCCTAGATCCAATAACCTTGTCTCACCCACTACGAACTGCTCAGGCAACAAGTCACCCCTGACATGACTAGAAGTCTCACATGATGTCGCAACGTGCCAATAAGCTAGCAACTCGAATGCTATACATAAGGAAAATGAACTCTGGAAGGGACTACTCAAATCACGCAACTAACATGAACTTTCCTCAGAAAATGGGAACAAAACACACAGAATAGAATATAAGGAACCATAATTATCATTACACTGTTGCGGCGTGCAACCCGATCCAAACAACATACCCATGGCTATCGTGCCACCCGATCCACACATAAAATTCACATAAGGAGATACACATCGAGCTAAATTGCTCATTACAACAACATACCGAATATCGGTCACAAGCACACTAAGTGCATAATACCATCCCTGAGGGGACATATAGCGCCATAAGCTAACAAACTCAAGCACAACTGAGGTGCGATATATGTTCCGGAACTAAAGAGCCATCTTGCTCACATAACACCATCGCTACGCGGAACTTCAACACATAAGAAATTTACCAAGCCGTTTCGCAACTCACACGGCACAATATAGCATTACATGAAGTAGCCGACAATGAATTAAAATCCAACGTCCGAATACTCCTCCATAAGGAGAGCTATGCTGAAACGAACACATTCGGCCCGATATAGAGCCCATATTCATATTTAAATCCATCCACAGACCTCAAGCCGATTCTGATCATACCGAACTAGGCCAACAATCTAATCTGGGTCCATAATAGCCCCTTTTCCCCATAACACACAAGAACAACCATCATAACCGAAGTAATCCTCCACGGTCCACAACCCAATAAACCGAGTGCCCTCCAAGCATAAATCCTAAAATTAACCATATCGCCACAATCTTCATACTTGGTTTCACTCTCCAATCAATAAAGTGACTACCTGCCACACTTATATAATCTTCCCGTGGGACACGCTCCCATCGATCTTCCGTAACAGATAACAAGCCTGCACATCCAGGCTACCGGCTAAACTAACGCTGAAAAGCGATCAAGAATCTATAACCAGGATGCAAAGCCTCTCTCACAAAACACCGATCCCAGGTGATGCTGAAGACGATGCCAGCTTACTCTAATCATTCAAAAAACCCTTTCATGCTCATCCAAGCTCGTGACATCCTTGTCAACACCAAACCGCAACCTTGATCCTCACTTTC